TTAAAAATTTAAAAACAAATCTGTTTCTTTAGCCCCCCCCCCCCCCCCCTCTACCGTGTTTTTGCAGGCTAGTTAGGTCATTTAAACACTGTGAATAAGATTTATATTTACACAAGGAGCAAAATTGCATTAGATCTTAAGACAGAGAATATATATTGCATTAAGTTATTTTCTTACCCCTATAGCAAAAATAAATGTAGTGAGGTTCATGCTTCAAAAAAAAAAAAAAAACACATCATGTGTGCTAGTTTATGAGTCAGTTTTCATAAGCACACAGTTTTGTACTTGAATAATTTCTGAATACTTTTTTTTGCTTCTAAATCTTTATTATTTAAGTTTTGTATATATTTACACAAGGAGCAAAATTGCATTAGATCTTAAGACAGAGAATATATATTGCATTAAGTTATTTTCTTACCCCTATAGCAAAAATAAATTTAGTGAGGTTCATGCTTCAAAAAAAAAAAAAAAAAACACATCATGTGTGCTAGTTTATGAGTCAGTTTTCATAAGCACACAGTTTTGTACTTGAATAATTTCTGAATACTTTTTTTTGCTTCTAAATCTTTATTATTTAAGTTTTGTAGTTGTTTTGGTTCAAGGATGATGCCTTTTGGAGAAACTGAACGGGAAAGCCAAGTTATTTTTCTGCTCTGGTGGTCACTGGCGCCTCCCACACTTTTGCAATCCTGTCAGCTAATAAACCTCACACCTTCCAAATGAAGATGTAGTCCGTCTAGTTTTCCTAGAAGCAGATGTTTTCTCACCACCTCAGCCGTTTTGCAAAGTTCTCTTACAGGTGTTTCATAACTTGAGCTATTCACAATTTAGAGGTAAAATTAAGGTGTGGCCTACTTGTGTTAGTTAAAAAAAAAACTCATGGAAGATGTTCTTTTGAATGTCATTCATTTCAGCCACGTGAAACAAAATCACATTATATATAAATCGGATAAGTGTGTTTTTAATTGTACTGAAATATGCTTAATTTTATAATAACATTTCCCTTAAGTCTGTGTGCTGTCTTGGATGAACATATTAACTGAGTTTGTCACATTGCTTCTTCAGTTGAGAGTACATGCAGTGTAGCCCACAGGCCAAAATGTTGGAATAGTTTTAGTGTCCACTATATGAAACAGTATTTACATCCAAAGTAAACATAAATAAATAAAATAAAAGAATCATAAAATGTATTTGCAAAATTACCTTA